CACCATTACCTGCAATTACTACAGTGCCCACCATCAGCAGGTGTGCTGCTTATTTATTAGACCTGCGCTATTTTCTCATACTCCTACCCTGCTCGGCCAATAAATTGACCTATAATCATTTGACTATTTGCTCCCATGCGGGTTTCATCTCTTCACCTACATAATATATAATATATTATACATATATATTATTTAGGTTTTATCGAAATTATAGTAAATTTTATGAAATTTTCACAATTTTCTACAAAATATGCGTAAATAAATGCACAAGTACAATAAGGGTACATTTAATACATATACATACTGTGTATGTAAATGCAAGTTCACATAAAGAAAGACACATCAAAATATAAAAATTCAAATTATTCATTAATAATTCCACAATTTAGCGGCGTCCACGACGTCTCGAAGTGCGTCGACTGCGGCTCCGGCTACGAGCAACGCGTCTCCTTCGTAGCCTCATACCACGATCTTCCGACTCGCCACCATTATCCGCATTAGCTTTCGGTTCTAGTTCGCTAGCTTTCTCGGAAACAATCACCGTTTCCTTAACCTCATTATTGGGAAGCACCTGCGGAGGGTATGGAAAAAAATTAAAATTTAATGCTGTGTTCACCAGCTTTCCATTGGTAAACTCCTAAAAGAAAAATCGTTACTTACGCAAGATGCGTCAGCGATATGCGTTGCAATTTTGGTGACCGTTACTGGTTCTTCTAGATTTTGCACTGCAAGCATAACTAAGTGCCCATTTTGATTTGCCATTAGTTGCGTAAAATTTAAATTTATTTATTTAAGTGTACATAAAATTCAAATTTATTTTGCTCTAACACGACAACGAAAATTCGTTTTCAATACGATTAATTTTTCTTTTCTAATGAAAACAAGGCACATTAAACAGGTAGTATCAGTAGAGCAAAAACAACATTTGCGTGTATTTTGTTGTTGCTTCTGGTATCGAAAGTGTCAACAACTGTTCTGAATTTTTTCTTCTAAATCAAAAATTATAAAAAATAAAAAATTGAAATTGGAAAAAATAAAAATTGATGCAACTTTCTTTCCTAGTAAATTTGTTTGCTTCTCGAAGCATTGATCCATCCTTTGCAAGGCCCAGTAATCAGCGGTCGTGCTGCCGAGTTGGGCGAACGTTCCAAAAGCTGCTATTCAATCGCTTGTTTTGTATGGAAAAAGGTTTCACATGCAAATGGATTTTAACAATTCAGAATTTTTGTGAGAAAAAATTAAAAATATTTGACATTTTCGAGACCAAATAATTTGAAAATAAATCAAATCAGCTGCTCTACTGATACTACCTGTTCAATGTACCTTGAATGAAAATTTTTTTTTGAAGTTTTGCGCCTTGATTAGAGATTGTAGACGAAAATTTGTTTCGAGTGCAAGTATTTATTTCATAATAACCAGTAGATACCCGGCGCACAGTGTGCCGTACAGCAAAAGATGGATGGACAAAATAATTTAACGATGGTTTTGGAGTATATTTAAGCTGCTTATTTCCGATATAATATCAATTATTACAAATTGGTTCTTGTTTGCAATTTTTGCGAATTGAGCAAAATTTTCGGTTGCTGGAATTCGAAAAGGTTTTTTTCCATCACCACGGGAAAAATTTATTTGTTTTTCAGACGATTATGAAAGCTTTAAACTCGCGCATATCGAAAGAATTTGATGTGGTATACTTTTGTTTACGCCCATAAAGTGTATTTTTTTTTAGAAACAAACAAGGATTTTAGTTCATTTGTTTTATAGTAATTTTGTTGTAAATCGAACATTTGACATCATATAAAAACTATGTACATATGTATGTATGTATAGGTACCCCTTGGCTTATAAATAATTATAAGTCTGGCCTTTAATTTGGTAAAAGCCAAGCAGCTATAGAAGAATATTTGTGAAAAATATGCCAAACAGTTTCGTTTACTTTCGTAAACTTTACATTACAAACACAAAAACAAATCGATTTAATAGTTTTCCAAATATCTCGAGAACGTGGTGAGGAAAAAATTTGGAAAAAATTACACATACACACATAAAAATTTTCTATGAAAAGAAATATTTTGTACNATTTAATAGTTTTCCAAATATCTCGAGAACGTGGTGAGGAAAAAATTTGGAAAAAATTACACATACACACATAAAAATTTTCTATGAAAATAAATATTTTGTACATTTTTTTTCTTGAAAAAATTTTCACATACATATTTTTTGATAAAAAAAATTAGTTTTTGAAAATATGCCATCTCAAAAAAAATAAATAAAAAAATAAAAATCACAATGGTATCTCTGAGTATTGCGCAATATTTAAGTATAGTATTATGGGGTGCACTCTACAATAATTTGAGTTATGAATGTTTTTACACAGAAGTTGAGTAAAATGAGTACATTGCAAATTTACAAATTTTTTAAATATTCTTTGGAAATTTTTTTTTTTTGGTATGTAGTTTTGTAGCCCATTAGCATAATAAAGTGCAAGTTTTAAATGATTTCAAAACTGGAGTTAATTTTTTTTTAACTTCTTTGAAAACGGTTTTGTGCATTTTCTTCCACAAGAAAAAATATAAATAAATATATAATAAATATATTAAAAATCAACGCAATTTTTAAATAGCTTAAATCTTGCTCTTTATTATAATAAAATTTAATGGGCTAGAAAACTTTCGCCGAAGGTGTTGCGGGTTTGTGCCATATAAAAATTAATTGTGTTTATTCGTTATATGGAAGCAAATGAGAGAAAAAAAATCTAAAAAAATCAATGGTAATTTTTAGCAATTTGAAACTTGCATATTATTATACTAAAATTGAATGCGCTATAAAACTGTGTACTAAAAAAAATCTAGAACTTCTGAGAAAAAAGTACAAAATTTGTTGCACTTTTTTGCGGTCTTTGAAAAAGTTTAAAAATTGGGTTCATTATCGCTTTGAAATGGGGTTGTTATAGGTATGTCCAATACTGTATATACTAGAGTGGTCCAAATAAAAAGTTTAAAATGTCAAGCTCTCACGGCCAAGGATTTTCTAAATGAAAAAAGAATACAGAAGCAAAAATTAGTTTTTTGTATATGTATTTTTTTAAATTTAATATTTATGTACGATATTTTTGTAATAATTATTGCGACCAAAGTTTTCATGCAATTTTGATGAAACTTTGTGAGAACGCCCTATCTCAGAAAACTTTCCGATTAAAAAACGCCCTATCTGAACATAGTTTTAATATATTTTCAGTTGAGATAGGCCGTTTTTGAGCCAAATTCTGATATAGGTCGTTCTTGAAAAGTTTTCTGAGATAGGGCGTTCTCACAAAGTTTCATCAAATTTGCATGAAAACTTTGGTCGCAATAATTATTACAAAAATATGGTACATAAATATTAAATTTAAAAAAATACATATACAAAAAACTAATTTTTACTTCTGTATTCTTTTTTCATTTAGAAAATCCTTGGCCGTGAGAGCTTAACATTTTAAACTTTTTATTTGGACCACTCTAGTATATACAGTATTGGACATACCTATATCAACCCCATTTCAAAGCGATAATGTTTGCCACTTATGTTTAATTATTTATTTTTAAGAATTTTCAATTAAAAAACAGTTCATTCTCTAATAGAACTCATATGAACCTAATTTTTAAACTTTAAATTTTCAACTTTTTTCTCAGAAGTTCTAGATTTTTTTTAGTACACAGTTTTATAGCGCATTCAATTTTAGTATAATAATATGCAAGTTTCAAGTTGCTAAAAATTACCATTGATTTTTTTAGATTTTTTTTCTCTCATTTGCACAATTAATTTTTATATGGCACAAACCCGCAACATCTTCGGCGAAAGTTTTCTAGCCCATTAAATGTTATTATAATAAAGAGCAAGTTTTAAGCTACTTAAAAATTGCGTTGATTTTAAATATATTTTATGCTGACGGCGTTTTGCACTTTTTTCTTGTGGAAGAAAATGCGCAAAACCGTTTTCAAAGAAAATTAAAAAAAAAAAAAATAACTCCAGTTTTGAAATCATTTAAAACTTGCACTTTAACTTTATTATGCTAAAATTTAATGGGCTACAAAACTACATACCAAAAGAATTCCCAAAATATATTTAAAAAATTTGTAAATTTGCAAATGTACTCATTTTACTCAACTTCTGTGTAAAAACATTCATAACTCAAATTATTGTAGAGTGCATCCCATAATACTACACTTAAATATTGCGCAATACTCAGAGATACCATTGTGATTTTTTTTAATTTTTTTTTTGAGATGGCATATTTTTAAAAATGAATTTTTTTATCAAAAAATTTGTATGTGAAAAATTTTTCAAGAAAAAAAATTTAAAAAATATTTATTTTCATAGAGAATTTTGATGTGTGTATGTGTATATTTTTCCAAATTTTTTCCGTTCTCGAGATATTTGGAAAACCATTAAATCGATTTGTTTTTGTTTTTGTAATGTAAAGTTTTTAAAAATGTATTGATCAAGCTCAAATTACATATTTATTTATTATCTATGTTATGCATCAACCCTAAAAATTTGAAACAAAACAAACACATGTAATTCTCTAAAAACCGTTTATGCTTTCTTTCGCTTATGTTTGCAAATTAGATAAACCTTTGTAGGAAAATATTTGGTTAAATTATTTTGTCCATCTTGCTTGTTCTGCACGGCACACTGTGCGCCGGGTATCTACTGGTTATTATG